GCCTGCGACCGGTGCCGTTGCTGGGCTGGCGGGGGGGGATGCTCGGCCTCGGGCGAGTTCTGCATTTGTTTTGAGAATGTAGGTGGGCTAAGTCACTTCAAGAATATTTGGCTACGTAAAAAGACTGATTAGGAAACTGTGAACGTCGTAAATGTCTATGATACGTGTGAGTTTAGTTTAAAGAAAAATACTTTTGTTTATGTATTAAAGGATTGTCTCATTTGCACAGAAACAAAGATACTAACATCAGAAATGACTATGAAAAAGTTATTTTTTTTAATGTTCTCTCAGTTCCCTGGGAGTTACCCTGAGCGCTCCTGTCAGCTGACCAGTTCACGTGTCCTCTGTAGCCTGCCAACTTCTTTGATGTATTATAATAGGTTGTGTGTAATAATTACAGCTATCTACATTTCTGCAGGCAAATACAAATTGATTTCTTCTAATTAAGCATCTCCTGCACAATTTTTAAAATAGAAACGCCTAGGTGTTCATACGGCATATGACAAATCCCGAAGCACGTGTGCACAGAGTGAGCAGGTGAAGTGGTCCCTACAAGGGCCTCTTTAAAGGGAGTTTAAGGATGCAAAAAGGATAATCAGGGGACTGCTTCCAGTGTAGCCCTAGACTTCTGCAAACTGGTGAGTTTGTGAGATGCGCTCCACTAGCTTCATTATCTGTATATCTTACATAAAGAAGCATATATTCTTGGTCAAGAAACACGTTTGCTTGAGCCATCAAATACCAAGTGCTTGCTCCAGATGTGAAGCTCCCACTGAGGCCTGTCACAAGACGGGGAGGATAAGCTGCTTAGTTTCAAACAGAAAAAACATTCTTTTGCTGTTTGCCAGGAGCATCTTAATGTATAAATACATGTGGCAATAACAGTTTGGAAAGAAAGGGAAAAAGTAAGAATGTATTATGCCTCCCTTTTTGTATAGAAAGCATTTAAGTTGTTTCTCTTGTTTGGATACCTTATTTTATAAGGAGAAGATTGATGGAAACATTGCATAAATAAAGTAGGTGTACTTGCATTGCTATTGTAGGGCCAATAATTGTTCTTAAAACATGAAATTCACCTTATTCACTGCCAGTGAAAGTACCACATAAGAATAGAAGTCTGATTTATATCCATAAAATAAGTTTTGTGCTATTCCTGTGACTGTGGTTGCATTTCATCCGTAGGGAGCAAGGATACTTCTGTTTTAGAAGGAGCCAACATTTTTTGGCTTTGTGCAATACAAAAACGTTATGCTTCTGCAGAGGCAGCATCAATTTCTGTTCTGAGAATATTTGTATAAAAATTCAAAAACTGTTATTTTGCCAGAATGATATTTAGTGGATTAAACAGTAGCATTCCTATGACCTTAGTAATGGAGTTTGGTTCAAACACACAGAGAAAACTTGTGGGGAGAAAAATAAAATTTAACGTCCATATAGTTCCCAAAAAGTATCATGTGGTGCTATTCCACACCTAATTACTATCTCACTGATGAAAGACATGCCTTTAGATCCTCCAGAAATGAATCTATCAAGAATGTATTTGTTTCACAGTTCAAAATTCTGTATTAAAGAAAATTAAACACTAATCTGAAAACTCAGTTTGTTGTTAAAATGAACACACACATAATTGGTTCTCTGAAGGTTACTGAGCTGTAGCTGTCTTCTTTGTACGTGATGTTAAATGGAATGAGTTTTTTGTTTCGCAGAACAGCGTACAAGCAAATAGGGGTTTGTAATTAAGTGGGTCTTTTGAAATCGCGTATATTCTGCCCGCACAAAACACTGCAGATTCACAGTACGCAATAGTCATCTCACAGAAGTCTGCATAGATTCAAAAAGGCAGCTTCCGTGCTTGATAGGAAGGCATAAGAGATTTTTCAACACAGTTTTGAAAATTTAGGGAGTAACTTGTTCAAATAAGATTTAGAGAATTGTCTTGTGTGCATAATAACAAAGCCTCATTTATTCCTGTACATTTTGTGTAGAAACGTCTGTTTTTAACTGAGATTCAGAATGATACGGAATAATTGTCTAATGGTTGGTCACTGGATTTTGGGTCCCTAGAACTTAAAACGTTAAAAGTACATACATAATTTTTGATAAGTTTTGTCCTTTATTTTCAGCTGCGAAGTCTTCCAGAGTGTTAGACAAACTTCTATGATATCTTTAACAACTGGATCTTGTATTTGGTGTTCTGAGATACTGTATCTGAGAAATAGTGAGAGAGTTGTGTTCATATAACTTTTTATTTTATTTACATAGGCTCTATTTTTCTCACATCAGAAATTCTACACTTAAAAAAACAGGGAAGCAGTGTTCTACAATGAACGCACATACATAGGAGACTGTACTCTTGCTCTGGACTTGTATGTATGTACGCATTGGGATAGACTTAAAAAGTTGGTGGGAAATACTGTGTCAGTGGCAGTCACTCTGATGGTAAGAACACAGTTTTTTGCTGATCATAGATGATTACAAAGTGTCAGAAATGTTCTGATCGAGGGGAATTTTGAAGTAATTCTAGAGAAGGTTAAGTAAGACTCGATCATAGTTTGTATAATTCCATGGAAAAATGCCATTTTTGATACAGGGTCACCGAGGCTAACAGAAAGGGATAGGAAGAATCAGTGGCTGGAAAGGGAAGCTATGTATCTGCAATCCAGAAATCAGATGGACAGTCTCAAGAGTAGTGATGATTGATGGGATTATTATTCCGTAACTGGAAGCTTTAAAAGGATGATTGGTTTGGTATGTTACCTTTTGGTTTTATGTATATATATACACATATACATACATGTATATATAAAACAGTGTCTTTCAAGCACAGATTAGATATCTGAAGCAGGAATTACTCCATGAAGTTCCCGTGTCTTGTTATTCAGAGTGTCAAATTAGATGATCAGACAGTGAAAATGAGTTTCTCTTGTGAAGGAGTTCAGTCTTTTTCTCGGAGAAAATTCTTTTTAATTTGGGATTCATTATCCGCAATCTGGACCAGAAGATTGAAGTGTCACAGCAACATATTCATTGTGACAATATTTTTTTCGCTTTCTAAATCCTCTCTGCTTCCCCCGAAGTGGTAGTTGGCCAGATTGCACTAGTACAACCAGTAATGTGTGTTGCCTTTTAGAATGCAGAGCTACTGCCCATCCTGTGGTCTTAAGAACCCATGAAAAATGTTTGCTTATTACACCCTGGAGATGACCACTGTCATGTGAAGCTTTCTCATCCTTTACACCCGCTTACCATGAAATATTATGCATTGTATTATTCATAACATTTATGTTCCTAAAAACAATGGTTCAATGCTTTAAGGACTTCCTATGGAAGTTTTTAGTTCAAGGCACTCTGTACTAAGTAAGAAGTCTCCACCAAGAACTATATTTGTAGCTTTGGACCAAACAGGTAGGTGAAATGAGCAGAATGTGGCATTGAATTCTGTCAAAAGATGCATTGCAAGGCAATTCTTTGTTAAAGACAGCTTTAGGCAGGCAGAAGTGGTGTCTTTTCATTGTGCTCTAAGCTTGAAAATATATTATCGGATCTGCTGTGGTTTAGTAATGTTATCCTCTGTCGGCTCTCACTGCTAGATAGCATGTCGGTGCACCCTTCTCTTGGACACTGAATGCTTTCTGTGTGTCCCGACATGCTGGGTGTGTTTTCTGGCTGATAGCAGAGGGGTTTATATCCCCTTTTTTGCACGG